CTGAATAAAATATTTGTAAAATGCTTTTATTTGAACGTAGGACGGCGGCGCTAGAATGTGTGGGTGATATTCGATATTCTTTTAAACACGAATAACGATATTCGAAGCTCGCGATATTAACATTAAATTCAAATTGGGCATCCCGGCTTATGAGTTTCAATTGAACACCGAGATTACTAGCGTTACTGTACAATGTATCTTAATCAGTTACAGCATATGGATACCAAACATTAATTTCATATTATGTGATATATATATTTTTTTGATCTGAAATAATGTGTACTATGAACAACGATCAAAGACCATTGTTTTAACCCGTCTGCCCTACACAGCATACGTAATTAAGTAATTTTTACATAGTATCGGTATCGGAATATCGGTAATATTGGCCTTTTTGTAGTATCGGCGTATCGGTATCGGTATCGGTCTTTTTAGCTGGTATCGGATCGGTATCGGTATCGGCGACAAAAGTGGTATCGGTACATCTCTACTTCATGATACAAAAAAACACTATGTGCTCCCAACATATATACATGTTTGATAACTGATATAATTAAAATCTATAATTTAAAATAATAATGTTAGTACCAACTCGGAATATAAGAGAAAGCCCAACCCTTTTGTTAAAGCTTCGAACATATAGCTTTTCATCTAGGGATGTTTGTCAATAATGAAAATCAATTGTTTCTATTATTTAAAATTTTAGGCACACAGTTGATTCCTGTTAAAGCTAGGATCTGACATTTACTGACTTGAGGTGATTTTTATCTTGGCTTCCAGTAATTTAACTTTTAGTGTGAATGAGACATCTTCTACAAAATGAAGCAACACAAACCTTGTTCCCTAAGTCCCTGAAATATTATCTCTTAATTAAGATAGGGTGGATTAGTTGAAGTGGAATGAAAATGTCATGTTTACCAGAAAGTACTCTGTCGAGCATGCTTCAAAGATAGAATGCCCTCAATGGCAACTTTCATCTAATTTCCATGCGTGATTGCGTGTAATTTCAAACAACAACCTGGCGGGGAGTTCTTTCAACTTCAATGAATTTTCATAATTAGTAGATTTATTTATAGAACAAACAATGCGGCAGTACACAATATTCTATCTAACATGTACATACTCACGTAGCAATTCGATGAGTGAGGAGACAGTAAAACGCGGAAACTGGGGTTTTGCACTTTTCTTATCGATTTTAATCGGTAAGTATGTTGGTAGGTATTTGTCTGTCTGTATGTATGTCTGTTAGATACACGCGATATCTCACGAAGGCGAGATTGAATATGCTCCATATTTTGCTAGTGCATTCATCAAATGTCGGACCAGGAGCCTATTGATTTTGGATGAATTATGTCATATAATTAGCGAGTTATTGAGTGATGGGACACAAAGTGTCACTATGTAGTAAGAGCGTTGTTTTGGGGAATCGCCCAATTTCCGATCGATAAGTCTTCGGTCTCTGAACGATAATCTCGTTGTATATTTAATGATAATGGACGCGAATGTTCAGTGATCAGCAATATGTCCATGTTATGTGCGTATGGAAGGTTAGAAATCATTATATGTGCCATCCACAATCGATGTTCAAGTAAGATCATCGATCCGACCTACGATTGACGAATTAAGTAGAATAACCCGAGTGCAGAAGCCGCAGCTGAATTCAAGTCCTAATATTTTTTGCTGCTTGCGAAAAGCCCTGCTCGGAGAGTATACCCTTTTTCGGACGAATATGTTGAATCAAATATAATCTTATTTTATGTTAAACAATTGCCAACTCGAGAGACGGGTATAGGACAACGGATTATTAGTACATTGAAAACAATTCAACCGTATCTGCTGAAAATACATAAAAGTCGCATCGCATCTTATAACTTTTGAATGAATAAATAGGCCAATAAATATAGGCCAGACATGGGCTATTCAATACAGGTCTAAAGCAGTTGGCGAAAATCTTTTTAAACCATTGTATTGGATGATTATAATACAATATTGAACAAGTCAAGATAGGATTCATAAAAATCTTCTGTCTTCGCCGATTCAATGTAGAGTTATCGCGGTTTTGTTGTGCTATGTATGCTGGTCAATTGAATTCCCGCAAGCTATCTGTACCGCCTACAGACTATTGACAGATTTAAACGAAAATAATGTTTAGAAAATAATAGAAGTCAATAATAAACAGACAGTTATGCGGGGAATTTGGTTGTTGTAATACTGGAATTTATTGCGATTTCATCGTGATGTCAGCTGTTCGTGACGGGCCTTGCTGATGTATGTAACAAGCGCGCGTGGTGTTTTTGAGGTAATCAAACACAGATATCCCATATCGATTATAACAACGGTTGAGTCTGTTGCAATTATTATCAGGCGAGTGTAAGGCCACGAAGTAGTTTTCCACCCACGAAAACGGATTTGGAAACAAAATTGTATTCTAAAGTCGACACAAGCGGATTAGCCTGCTGAGTTTCGTCAGATTGTTGTCATTTTCAGGTTGCGCGACTCTGTATATATTTGTCGCATGCGATTTCAAAAAGTATACTCAGCTTTGATAGGAGATAGTCATACATGGGTGTAGCAAGATTTTATTTTATACTGTATGTGTATAAAGAGTAACAAAAGTTTTACGAAGAATATGCAAATGACTTATATTTATACATGTTCAGATAGATTTTTAATTTGTAATTTAACCGCCTATTAACTAACACGTTCGCAAGTTTGTCTTGTAGTGAATGTGTAAACTATGAATACCAAACGCAGTTAGTAAGAATATGAAAGAACAAGTGGGCTTTTCGAGTAAGCGCTGAAATGGTTTTCTCTCGGATTTTAGTACTCAAATATGAGATTCAATACAATTGAAGTTACTCCCAATTTCTATCAAACCAGATTTCATACGTAATACCCGGTTTAGTCAATCGTGAGATGTGGCTATCCGTGTGCAGACGCATAGTTGTGGTACGGATACGTTTGATCAGACCTTAGTGTTGGGATGAAAAGCTCGAATCCATTGGAATGTGTCGACCTTGACGTATAATAAAAGAATTTTTGATTGCGCAAACATGGTTGTTTTTCTATCCAACCGCAGCGACTCGAAATCGCAGAAACGGGTACGATGAAATTAAGCCAAATGACCTTTACTGCATTAAATCTTTTATGCTCGCTACCAATGGTTGTTTTGCATTTGAGTTTTCAATATGTAGAAGCATCTGAAGCATGTATTGTACGATTAGCAGGGTGTTGATATGTGAAATGGATCAATAAGTTTACAAGCCATCGTGGAATGACTGATAGACGACTTGCTAAGTGCCAAATGGCGACCTAACGCGCATAAATAATCTGTAAATTCTACTGTATTTTGTCCTCATTCCATTTACGAATGCACCTAACAAAATATTTGAATTTTTTAAACAATTTTACCGACATGTATTTGTGTTAGGGTGCGGCAGGGCTTTTGAATCACTTAAAATAGTCATCTACACTCTTGTTATAGCATCCTCGCATCATATCTATTCGTCAGCAAAAAAGCATTGAAGGAAGGCAAACAATTAGTCGCGCAGAAACCAGATCAATAGCACAGTTTCTAAATATGTAATCTTTTAATGTCAAGTTTATTTAGAAAACAGCGGGCACTCTTTCTACACGTCAAAAGCAGACACGCGCGTGTTATTAAGCATTTGCACTCGAATCAGTAGCCAAATACCTAGTTTGTAATTCTGCCGTAATTTTGTTCAAAATGTTATGAGCCATGCCATAATAGTTGGAGCATAAGCAGTGCATATTGATCTTTAGTTGTGTTCATATTCAATTTCCTGCACCTGAGCCACAGCGGGATATAATCAGAAATTTGGTATACTCTTTCGGGTATCAGTGTACGTACCTTATCGAGCCTTGCTGTTTCATAGACATTTTCTTCCAAGTACTTTGTGATCAAAGTACGCGTAATAAATAACAACGAGATTGGTTAATCAATAACTGCCGATGCATGATCAACACGTGTTTTGGAATATTAGAAAAATCATCAAATCTAACTATTATTTCACAGTAGAGGATTTTATTATACACGCGATTTTCGAGTACTTACAATTGTTGAAACACTATCACGGACCGATGTTTCGTCGCATGTAGAGGACAATGTGGGTACTAATACCGTACAATAACAGTAATACGACCGCTTTTGTTTAGTAGTGAGGCGATGGGTAACATCTCATAATATTACGTAATCGACAGCTCATTTGCAAAGATTTCATGCTATGGCGTAATTAAAACTTCAAATATTCGGCGACATTTGGTACGTGACAACGAGAGGCACTGACGTGGCGTCTAGATAAGATTATTGTAGGCCTGGTGTAGTCTCGTGGTTAGACGTCGCTTTCGGGGTGCTTGATGTACGCTGTTTTTTTATACTCTCGTAGTGTGTGTACCAGGTTAAGGTTATGTCATAATTTTATTCCGATTTTTTCATATTTTAGTTCTATTACGAATTCGGGGCCTGTCTGTGTTAGCCAAGTGAATATACCCCCTGCCCATAGGTTTCAGTCCCTTTACACAACTTGATGTAAAGTAGGCAAACAAGATTAGTTACCTCCATATTGGTACACGCACTTCTTACTGCGTAAATGCATGTGCTTTATATAAGTATACAGCGGTTGAGGAGGTTTGTTTTGTTCTCGTGCTTTCCATATCCGAATACATGCATAAGCATAGATTTCTGTAAATATATTTGCTATTCCATGTGAATTATTAAATTATCGTTTATAGTGCTGTAATGTACAGCAAGATTACGAAATTCAGTAGACGTTTAAATGTTAAATGGTGCAATTAGGAAATTTTGGCTTAAAATTGTATTTCATAATTTGACATGAGGGAATTTGAGAATTTATTGAATATAGAAAAAATTTGAAGATTCAAGGTAACAGCTCTGCTGCATCGTAATTGATTTTATTTCAACAATGCATATCTCAGCATTCGTACATTTAAAGCCAAATTTATGCTTTCAATTACAGATTTATGATCCGGGACATAGCTGAAGTTTTTACCATAAGTATAACTTTGCTGACTGTCGCACCTAATGCAACCCAAAATCTGACTGGCTTGCAGCACTTCAGCTCGTAAAGAGACCCAGATCATCTGATATTTTTCTTCTATTATCAGAATCGGTAGCTAATACGTAATAATAGCGACATAATAAACAAAATGCCTGGAAACTCGTACGAAAGTTGGGAGAATGGTGACGCAACATCAACAAGAAGCACGAGTGTAAGTTTATTTGTTTTTGTAAGTCAAAATATCTCAGCTGCCATCATCTAAAACAGTTTCTCAACGCAAGGTTCCAATAAGACTGGTGGAAAGCAAGCCCAACTTTCTCATTAGTGAAATTTTAAGTAATTTCTGGCAAAACCGAATTCTATGTAAATATGATTGGTTTTTATTAGTGATCTTTTTTTGGCCATAAAATCCTTTAGTATTTGAGCATATTTGTTGGTCGCAAGATTCAGCAAAATTTATTTTTTGGAAGAATTAGGCGCCTAAAAATAAGGTCGGGAACCACTGGTCCGCGGACCCCTGTTTGTGAATCTTATTTTGACGGACGGACCCCCATTCTATGCCGTATTAGTATCTGTGCCTTACCAACGGTGAAGGTCCGCGGAGCCCAGTTTGGGAACCCTTTCCTAGACTACGCGGCTACTTGTAAAAAAATATGAAATCTTGTTCAATTAAAACGTACAAAACATCGTACCAGATTTGTTTGGCTGACACAAATATTATTCTTATTTTAGGCATTGGACACAGTCACCTCAAGTGGAATGAAGCGATGGACAACAGGGACACGTGGCATCATATTAGCGGTCGTCGTTGCTCTGGTTATATTTTGGGTTGCTTTCATCATCGGTTACGCAGTTGGATACAGCATTCACAAGTGTGCAGTTCAGTGCGATTGTGTCAACGCCACCACGCCTCCAACGCTTTTTTAGTGACGTCATTTTTGATGACGTCAATTTTAATGACGACTAATTTTTGAATTGAAAGAATAATTTTTATGCAATGTAAAGAGAAATTAGTTTCCCTCCCGTTAGGCTTGCACGTAATTTACGGATTTACGGAATTACGGAATTATTTCGAGTTACGGAAGCGAAGTTACGAATTACGTAAAGTCGTAATTATTGGTCGAGCGCTTTCGCGATTGAAACGAGCTCTCTTCAGAGCAGTCAATTCCGTCGATTGTAAAAAATTAAAGTTTAAGTAAAAGAAGTTAGAGTTCCGGTATTCGCAGCCGTTTTTCTCTCTCTTGTTAGGCAGATGGGGAAGGCATAACGCCTCATTTACTAACCTATCATCAACTTATCTAGGATGGCCAATGTACATATTAACCGTAGATAAGGAATAGAATTGTGTTGAGACCGATGGACGTCAACACACCTGGTTTCAACTTCTTCGGGTGAAATGACTAAAGAATGTAAGAGATCAACTTATAAAACATGGTCTATTTGTAAATGCCGTGATAATTAATGTCGCGCTTATCAAACAGCAATATAAAGACGGAAGAGAAATTGCGTAATAAACCAACGCAACTTAGTCTTTTCGGCATCGGTAAAGCGATTGAGACGGCAGAGAAACAACAATACGACGGGATTTCCCGTGTTTATTCTGCGCGAGATCCATTTTCTATTACAAAATCTTGATGTTCTGTTACCGATTTTATCGTTATATATCTGTCCTTGGCATTGCTCAATATGTTTTTCACAATGCCTCGCAATATGTCGGCCAAATATGATTACCTGTCTTTACCAAATGCGGCAAACTTATTTTGATTTATCGTCGACTCGAATACCACCGGCACTCGACCAAACTTGTGTCAATCTTGGCAAATAGGATTGTCGACTTGAGTTAGAAAAATAAATTAATATTTTCATGAGTGCAAAATAAATGTCACAAAATGCATTGTTTTGCGATATAACTTTGTATTTTCGGAGTAGGCATGTCATATAAGTACGGTATTTTAAATAATGCGCAAATAATTAATATTTGATCTAAATTTATCGCAAATAATGTTATAACTTTTAGGCCGCGAAATGATTTAATGTAAAATGAAGCATGGAATTCGGAATATCGTCAATAAGTCGGCATCAATAATTATTCTAAAATGCTAACTAAGTAGTAAAGTCGGATATTGTAAAAAACGGTGAAATAACAAGTCTTCGTCGCCAGGCAAGCGAAAGTATAATCAAACGAGAGAATACGCTTGTAGTTGATTAATAAATTAGCAACCCGGAATTTTTATATAATACGGAAGTCGTATTAATACGTTCATACGATTTTAAAAATGTGAACTATCGTTTCATAAATATATTACCAGTGTTGGTAATGATAAAATTGATCGCATAAAATTTGGTGATATAGTGGATAAAAAAATCAAAGCTAATACAAAAGATAAAAATCAGAATAAAATTATTTTGAATTCACTCCTTGATATTTGTCTTTAACATCTGTCGCCGGCGTGTAGTACTGCCGGGAATATGAAAACCAAACTTCGATGTCCCATTCGGAATAAAAGTGGATTAAATTGGTTGTTATGATAGGTTTAAATGTGTGAAAAAAATATCGCAATTACGGGGTCATTACGTAATCGATTTGGCCGTAATTACGGAATTGATTTTTGTCAATTACGTGCAAGCCTACCTCCCGTGTTGCCAATTTAATGACGTCAGCGTGACGTAAAACTGTTTAACAAATATCAAATTATCATAATTAGATTCTGAAACCTAGTTATCATTTTAAACGAAATTCACCTTTCATATGTGACAGTTACTGTATTTATTGAATACCGTTTTTCTAATAACATAGGATTATGGTCTAATCATACTTCAAACTTGGGCTTTATATCTTTCCTGATCAAATATTTGCCTCACCAGATTCGCATATTATGCTGTTGAAAACCAGCAAATATTTTAGCAATATTTTTCTATCATACGAAAATCAACACCGCTGGAATACCATACTCAAAGAGAGCAAATCGTACGCGGATGATACTTCGCAAAGCATCGTTTTGTGTCAATTCTAACAAAAAATTTTACTCATCTAATTTAGGAACTAATAAATTTAAATTTTCATTTTTACAAGTTGACATTTTGTACAGAGAATATATATTTTTGTATCAGTTGCAGAGACAACTATACTTTTACCTATAACTTTTCAGTCATAATCAGCGTCATTGTGACGTTGCAAATAATCGTGCGCATTAATTTTTATGTTATTTGTACATATTTGAAAATAAATTGAGCAAACACACTTGTTTATTTTTTGTGACCTTCGTACCTCGTCTGGTAATAGTGTTATTTTGCAATGATATTCTGTGGGAACGTTCGGCAGTAATGTAAGTAATATATGAGACTAAAAGTAATCTTGGTCGGTCGACACTATAACGCCAAACGGAAGTGAAGTATTTTACATTTAAGCCGTGGACTATATCAAGGGTTGCCAATGGTTGCCATCTACCTAGAGCCAAAAATAATCACGCACGTCAAGAAGGAGATCATACACGAGTCTTCCGATTTTTATCATTAGAAGTCGCTACGGACATGGTTGTACGCAGCCCTGAAATCGCAAAAAGCTATGGAGTTACTGCCACACGCAATCTCTAAAGCAGGGGCCACTTTTTGTCGCTCGCGGGCCAAAATCAAGTGTTACAAATCTTGGCGGGCCGCACATATTTCTTTGAGAAAGTTAAAAACTGAACGGGTGGCTGATGAACCACAATATTTATACAGATTAGAAATTGAAGTTCTTGACTTTAGTTAGCGAGCGAACACTGCGACACCTCGTGGACTCATGTCGTCTTACTACGCAAAATATTTACAAATAACATTTAGTGTAACACTATGTGTTGCATTACGCTTGATACCTTTTCGACATCAGGTGAAACTAAACTAAACGACACTAAATAAAACCAAAATTAAAACATTTTCTAAATGGGTAGCCTTTCACTAATCCTAGTTCCCCGCACAGAAAATTTCATTTTGGTTCAGTAATTGGAAACAAAAGCGATTATTTGATAACGATGGGGAAAAGAATTATTAATGAAGAACAAGAACAGCATAATAACGATCCTTAGGTTCCAGTTTCAGTGAAGTATTGCAGGCCGGATTATTTTTGTCCGCGGGCCGGATATGGCCCACAGGTGGCCGACCCCTGATCTAAAATCTTCTTATTTTGGTGCCCCGCAATGCCTATTATGTGGGCACTGATTACTGACTTCCCCATTTCTTGATGCCGCAATAGTAATAGTTATCAGCAAATTCCTTTTCATATTCGAAACAGAACTCGTGCTTTGTACGCAAAACAAGAACGAGTCATTTCTAAGACAAAATAAGCACGCAACTCAAAAATAAGCACTTTTCTTAAAAATAAGCACAAATCTTAGAAATAAGCACGATATGGCAACCCTGCCTATACCCCATGGCTTCGATCATTGATGCCGTCTGTTTCCGTCGCATTTAGGACTATTGCAAACCATGTTTGAGCCAAACGATTAACAATAACAACTGAATACGCAGTCTATTATATCGTACACTAAATTCTGGCGTTATGCAAACCATGTTTGAGCCAAACGATTAACAATAACAACTGAATACTCAGTCTATTTTATCGTATACTTAATATCTGGCGTTAAGATTTCTCATTGCATTGATCAGCTTTTTGACTTGCTCATTGGTTCCGGTCACTAAATTATTTCCTATACTAATGAGATATTTCAATTGTTTTATTATGCTAATTGTACTGAAATTATGTCAACAGTACATAGAGATGCTATAAAATTGAATTAATTTATATTGTCCTTCCGAAAGAATTCCTATTTTCATTCTCACCGTGTTCTAAACCAGGGTGGGCAAATTATGTTTGTTTTTTTAATCATCTTTTCTTTAATGATTTTTTTCAGTTGTTTTATTATGTTAATTGCACTGAAATCATATCAACAGTGCATTGAGCTTCCATCAAATCGAATCAATTTGTATAGTTTCTTCGAGAGATTCCTCAATAAGCATTTTCATTCTCACATTGTCCATCCTAAAACAGAGGTGGGCCAAGTTTTTTGTTTTGTTTGCAAGGGCCACGCCCAGGAAATTCTTTTTGCAAAGAGCGCATTGAGTACTCCATTTTCTCGAAATACAATATCATATAGTTACCTTTAGTTAAAATTATTATGTGTAATATCCCATATTAAAGATTAATAAAAGAAATAAAGTACAAATTCAAAATATCAACAGACTGAAATTTATTTGACATAGAAAAGTAACCGGATGTTGAACGCAAAATGCGAATAAACCTTACTTTCATTAAACATTTTATATATAGAGATATTTTAAATATACATTAAAAATGAAATTTTGTACGTAGTTGTAAGGGCGCTCCAGAAGTATGTGCACCAAGATGACGGACACCGGAAGGTAGTACTCGCACCAGGTTAGGGTTAGGCCATAATTTTATTTCAATTTTTCTTATTTTAATTCTATTACAATTTCGGTGACTAGTCAAGTGACTGCCGTAGTATTTGTACCTGAAATTATGGCCTAACCCTAACCTGGTACACATACGACGTTTCGGTGTCCGCCATCTTGGTGCACATACTTCTGGAGTACCGTTGTTTGATATTTTTACAACTTTCTCCTAGATCGCTCGTTGAAGTGTTTTGATCTTCCTCGAGGTGGCGCTCATGAAACGTGAACAATTGAGTTGTTTTTTCCTAGTTTAGCATTGATTCAAGAAGCTGCCTGTCTATAGCCATCGTATTTTATGGTCTGTTTTATGCACTCCAAATTACTTTTGATTCTTTATTATTATTTCTTGTTCTCAATCATGCTTACATTCCTTTGATAACAGAACCTGATAACATCGACATGTCGTTTATTTCTCTTGCTACCCAGTATGTAAATATTTATATAGGAAAAGCCATTCCATTTTCGATAAAGATGAATATCAAAGATTCTTGATATTCACTTACTTTTTGTAAAAGTATTTCAAGCCACATAAATCTTTGAAATATGAGACAAAAATAGAAAACCGTTAAAAACCTTCCATCTGCAAGTCGGTGGATGCCTCTCATTATTCGGTTAATTTCGGTGGTATTTGAGTGGTCGATTTGTTTCACTGGGGCGCTTCTGTAAACGCTCCTCAGTTACGTTTGCCTCAGCCATTGGGGGAGCGTCCATGAGTGAGTTCATAGTTAACCATTCCCAAGATCTCGACTGGTGGTCATACAATTAAGCCTTTTCTGGCCTTGGTTTATCCCGCCATAATAAATATGATAATCCTATCCTTATAATAGAAGAAGTTTGTGGAAAAAACGGGTAATTCCGATACCGGGCTAAAATACCATTCTTGAGTGGATTGCCATGGTTATCATACATTAATTTACCATCTATTTTCGCGCTCCAATTCAGTAATCTGTTTTAGTATTTTATGCTAGATATATATCGTCTATCAGGAAAATTTAAAAAATCCAACCAGAAATTCCGTTAACCGATCTGTATCCGACCGTTATTTTGTATAACGACAATGTTGTCTGATGTTGACAAATTTTAACGGAACAGTCTCGCACATGAAACACGAACTAATCAAACACATTCTAAAATCTTAAATAATTAGATTTTATTAGATTTAAATTAACCGTCGTATCTGCTGAATCAATGAATCTAACAATAAGAATCTGATTTTAAAAATGTGTATTGTTTATGGTTGAAGTTGACAGTACAGCCTGGGAGTGACGCGTTTTAGATTTTTATCATCGTGTCCTGCTCCTGCCTATAGATTCAGGGCTAATAAGAAGACATGAAATCATATCCATATTTTATCAAACATTAATTAAAATTTATTTCACTCTCTGAATATAGAAAAGACAGTAATGTGTTTTATCTAAATCACCACCCACCAAGAATTTTTCAAGAATCAAATCAAAATTTCCATCTTACCTACCATGATTTTGTATGACGAACAATGTTATCTGAGAAATTTTAACAGAGCAGTCTTGCTTTACGCGGCGTTGAGATGCGAATTAAAATCTTTTCTTAAATTATTCATTGGCAATTAGTTTATACATCAATATAATAAAATGTTATGACTACTTTGATTTACGCATAGAATATTGCTAAAGTGAACTAAGTATGTATTTAAAAGCTTGGTTGTCAAAATATAGTTATTGTAAATCTTAACTGAAGATGATTTATATCCCTGCATTACGAGTCTGTTCTGAAGATCAGGAAAGAAATCTGAACGTGATGTAGTAATTGATTGAGTTTGCTGTTTTTAAAAATTAGCGAAGTGCACTTTTGTGGCTTTCGAGATGCGCCCTTTTTGAAAATGCCCCTAAATGAATTTGCCCTTTCCTGGCTATTCCCAATAATATGGTCAAAAAACTCTAACAAATATCAACTAACGTGAATTTGAATTGAAAAAAAAGTAATATCACAACGTTGTTTGAAGGTGAATCTGGTAAATTCATATTGTGAAGTCGAAATAGAAATCTTGGACGTAAAAAAACCGGAGTCAAATTTTGCAACCGACATAGCAGGAAGCTTTTGTAATCAACGTTTGGTCAAGTCGGGAACTGGTGTTGTAAAAAAATTTGGTGCTCCCGAAGTATGCGAACCAAGATGGCGGACATCGGAACGTAACATGGGTAACAGGTTAGGGTTAGGAGATAATTTTTTCCAATTTTTCTTATTTTAGTCTTATTATCAGTTCGAAGACTAGCCAAGAGCCTCCCGTAGTATTTATACCTAAAATTATGGCCTAACCCTAACCTAGTACACATATTACATTCCGATGTCCGCCATCTTGGTTCGCATACTTCGGGAGCCACAAAAATTTGTAGTTGAAGTATTTCAGATTTACACACCACCGGTCACAAACAGAGGTACCAAAGGCACTACCAATGCTATTTAGAACTGTAGTGAGACAAGCGAATGCAGTGAAACTGTTCGACCGTCTATAATTAAAAATTAGAATATGGATAGAATATGATGTTTAGGGTAGGTTTGCAGGTTTGAATCTCTCGCGGGGATAATTATGTGTGAGAGGATTGCAGGACTCAAATTCTGAGCTGGTTCTAACCTAGTCCAAAAAGTCCGGGCAACCCGTTGGACCTCATTCGTGATTGGGATAAGGTCATGCAATTGTTTCAATTAAACGATGAATTCCCAGTGGACGCAAATTATATGGTAAACCATTGCTTTTTGCTGTTTAGTCTGGTATGGGATGAATCATAACAAGGTAATCGCCCCATCTGTCTGAGATTTAATGTATTGTAATGA